GGGGGGGGGGGAAACGACCGAAGCCGAAAGCCGAAGGGGGAGGTTGATATTAGAGGGAGGGATACCGTACCGGTAGGTAGGGAGGGTACCGGTAGGTAGGTGGGTAGGTACCTATCGGTTATTAATTAGTATGAGTTTGGGTCTATCTACGCCGTAATTTAATACCCCTTACCCCCCGGGCGAGGAAAGAGAGAGAGAGAGAGAGAGTGAGTGTTGTTGTACTTTTGCTTTTTTTTTTTTTGTCTACGTGATGGATGGAGAGAGTGGCTGGCTCGCTGGATTGTGAGGACTAACGTAGATGTATATATATGTGTTTGTGCAAACAGCTGTTCGGCAGACGGCCACGAGTTTTCATATCGATTAGATGCGGGGATGGTGAGGATGGCGAGGTTAACTTTTGTACTCATCTACCGGAGCAAAAGTTTACGAACGACTGACTCGGCGAAGAAAAGCCGCCGAAGAAAGCCGCCGAAGTCAATGGTGGAGCGATGTGAGACGTTTCTTCTCTCTTCCTACTCAGGGTGCGTGCTTCCTGTGGTCTTTAGACAGGTGGAGCGACGCTAGCCCGGCTCAGCTCAGCTCAGCTCCATGCCGTTCGTGAGTTGCTGAATGGTCATACATATACGTAGTACTACCGATTGCTATCAGTACAGCCGAGTGATGCCTCCCATTCCAGAGGAGAGACCTTGGCTAAGCAAAGCAAGCGCTGCTTTTAGACGTCGGCATCCGGGTTGCTGTAATCGATGTTACTTTACTTTACTTGAGGGTAAACAGAGCCAGCGGGATAAACATGATATTTAAAGACACGAGACTATAATATCGTTATCAATCAATATCAATGCAGTCGTAGCAAGTCAAGGAGGTTCAGGTTCAGCTGATAAAGAAAAAAAAAAGAAAAGGATCGACGGGTTTCTTCTCGCTTGGGATTTGTTTGTTTTGATCTAATCCAATGCTGCTTGGTGGTGGGAGGGAGCTCCGGGTGGCTTGCATTCCGCCCCTCGCTACTTCTGTACTCACTCTGCTTGTTATATGTGCATCATCATCGGTTACTCCTGTGTATTACCTAGACTGGCTGGCCAGAATCCTGGTGTTCATGATTGCAAAGGGTCTCTTTCCTGTCTCGTGTGAGCTGCGTTCAGCGGGTGTTGATGAGCCGGTGGGGGTGTTTGCCTCGGATGTACCGTACAGCATGCTCTTCTTCAGTATTCCTTTATTGTCGCCTATTATCAAATGATTGATTTTCGCATTTGATTGGGGCATGCATAGCCCATCATAGTAGCCCGCATGCGAGACATCACGATCTCCAAATCCCGTGGACGCTCTCGCTCTCGCTCTCTCCAGAGTCGACGTAGATCTGATAACAAATGGCTTCGCTCTAAAGTCTGGGCAGCTAACACTAATTTAAGCATTATTTACGCCCTCTTTCCTTGTCGAGCAGAAGCAGCGCCTCTTGAGTCTCAAGCCCCGCCTTTGGCTTGCGTCTAAGCCGGCACAGTGACGAGCCGACAAAGAGAAAGAGAAAACATTGCTGTCCTGACGGAGATGCAATTGGGCGTATGCAAATGTGGACTGAAGAACTTGTTTCTCTTTTTCGCTCTTGCCCTCTGGTGCATTTGCAGTTGCATCGCGGCGTCTACGCCTTCCGGCAGCGTAGATATGATTGGCCAGTTTGGGCCTCTTTCCCCCCAAATGGGTATTGGGCAACGGCAAATGGTGCTTCCGGATGGTTTTTGCGTTCAGCTTGAACTCTGTGGATTTGAACGGTGGCGGTCGTGGGCTCTTTCCATCATCCAACTCACGTGTATATATATACTAATGTATAGTTCCTTCCCTCTTGCCTCTCTAGCTGATCCACGTCGCCTCAGCCCAGTCACTATTTCCACAACGACCCGCAACCCAAATCAACTCCAATCAATACTCAAGATGCGTTTCTCTATCGTAGCTGTTGCATTGACTGCTGCCAGTGCCGTCTCCGCTGCACCAGCCAAGAGACAGGCCGCAGATATCGACACGGTCATTTTGCAATACGCATTGACAGTCAGTAATCCAATTTCCATCACTCATCTCTTGTTCAATCGATTAACCCTTACCAGCTTGAGCACCTCGAGGACGCTTTCTACAAAAAGGCCCTTAGCGAGTGGGACCTAAAGTCGTTCACAGACGCGGGCTTCAGCGAGAAGTTCTACGATGACCTCAAATTCATCGCCCACGGTTCGTCTCCCCTTCCTATCGTAACTCAGTCCATGCTAATACTTCCCAGATGAGGAGGGTCACGTCACCTACCTGAAAGCTGGCCTTACAGCTGCAGGCGCCACGCCCGTCGCTGCCTGCGAGTACAAATTCCCCATGACAGATCCCCAGTCATTCGCCGCGCTCGCCTCTGTCATCGAAGGCGTCGGAGTCTCTGCTTACCTCGGAGGCGCACCTATCGTTACGTCAAAGGCCTACCTTACTGTAGCTGGTGCTATTCTGGTCACCGAAGCCCTCCACCAGTCCCAACAACGTGCTGCCATCGGCGAGACGCCTGCGGCCAACGTCTTTGGAACTCCTCTCGGCTTCAACGCAGTCTACTCTATCGCCTCGGCTTTCATCGTCTCCTGCCCATCTACCAACGCGGCACTCCCCTTCATGGCCTACCCCGCGCTCACCGTCACCTCTGGCCTGCCCACGGCTCCTGGTGCGCTGGTCAACCTCGTGCCTGATGAGATGCCCTCTGGTACTTTCTTTGCCACCTTCGTCAGCGGGCTCAGCATCACTGCCGTGACGCCCACCTCGGTGGAGGGAGGGATGATCATGGCCGAGGTCCCCATGATGATTGAGGGACAGAGCTACGCTTTCCTCACCAAGGACAAGTCGGGCAACCTGACCGATTCCAACATCATCGCCGGTCCAGTCATCCTCGAGGTCACTCCTCAGAGCCCCACATTTACCCTCACGATCCTTTGAATGCGCTGACCCCGAGGTGAGAGTGACCGACGTTCGACGTCTCGTATTGTTTTGATAGTTGCATGCATACCCCCCATGATACCCCCCGATGATGTTTCTAAGGAGCGGGAGATTGTCTTCGCAGTCGGGGCATCTTTGGCGTTTATTTCTTCGCAGCCAACTATGATGGATAATGTTTTTCGGGATGGTGGTGCGCTGTGATGTAGTGGGAATGCTTAATCAAATTCTTCAACTATTTTTCTCTCTCTTTTTCTTTGGACTCCTCATGCCTTTTTGGCATCATCAACGGTCAGGCCTCGGACACGATTCTGCTTGTTAGGTATGCAAGCGCTCAACCCCTTTCTCCCCTCCGTTTTATTCGAAAGGCGCGTTCGTATTTCCGATTTCGTACCTCTTCAACACGTCAGACTGTAAACAAGACCCTGACCCCTCCCTAGGATCCAGCTAGCCAGCTAGCCAGCTAGCCAGCCAGCCATCCATCTTCTATCCTCTTCTATCCTTCTCCAATATAAGAAACCTCGCCAACTGACCGACTGACTGAACAACTGAATAACCCTCAACCCTCAACCCTCAACGCCCTCGACAACATTATATCACGTCATATCATGTCATGTTCCCGCGCCGTATGAGGAAATAAACAAACAGACGAACAAACCAACCAACCAACCAGAAAGAACACCAGCCCAGTCCAGCCCAGCCCAGCCCAGCCCAGATCGATAGACAGATCAATAGACCAAAACCACGGGTCCTGCCTGCCCTCCTCGCTTAGCTGGCTCGCAGCTTACTATCTATTAGCGAGCGGCGGTAACACATTTGCTGCTTTTTGTTTTTTTTTTTNTTTTTTTTTTTTTTTTTTATGCTTCGTGTGATTAGTTTTTTGTAGTTTGTTTTTGTATTTGTGTTTTTGTATCTTGGGACGCTGTTGTGTTTGGGGGGAGGGTGGAGGGAGGGTGGAGGGGATAAGAGGGGGGGGAATAGGTGGGATTTTTTTTGGAGGGGGGGGAGGGGAGGGGACGTTATTGTGGTGGGTGTTGGGAGGGGTGGGTGTGCCATTTTTTCTCTTTTCTTTTTTCTTTTTTCTTTTGTTCTTTTGTGTGATGGAGTGGAGGGAGGGGGGGTTAGAGGGGAGGGGGGGGAAGAGAGGAGAGGTGAAGAGACGAGGGATGTGGAAGGGGAAATGGGCGTGTGAGCTTTTCTCTTCATAAAGGTATCATCATCATCATCACATACAACAATACTAGAGATTTTCTGTGCAACAAAAGTCTTTCCGCATGGATCTCCTTTCCCCTCTCTCTTCTGTGGAGCTCTGAAGGAGAAGAGGGGGGAAGGGAAGGTGGAAGGCGAAGCTGGCTTTTTAGCAAACTAGCTTTCTCAATATACTGTATACTGTATCCTTGGCGAACCGTGTTTCTCTCTCTCTCTTATTGTTTTTTTTTTTCGCGTCGGTTGCTTCTCTCTCTCTCTCGTGGGAGAACTGATAGCGAGAGTTAGATGTCGTATTTTTAATGGTGGGTGTTGAAGTTTATGGATGTTTACTTTCCAATTTTTTTTTNTTTTTTTTTTTTTTTTTGGCACTCGCTCGCTCGCTTGTCACACCCTTGTTTTGACTTATAGGAAGAAGAAGGAGCGGTGAAAAGTAGTACCATTTTTTCCCCCTCCTATTTATTATCATTGTTGTTACTTTATTTTGTATTTCTGAAATATACAATGCAATATCGACGACCAGCTCTAATCGTCTTGATCGTTGTTTAACATCATAGAATTCATTCCTTGTTTAACTGCTTTGCTTGCTACAATCATCCTATCCCTTAAACCACGTTCAAGAAAAGCCCTCCTTTTTCTTCTTCTTTTTACATAACCTCGGGCTGCTGATCTCGCGGTCTCGCAGAGTCTTTATAAACCCTCTCTCTGATAGCATTTCACAGAATTCGCATCGAGTTATCTCTCGAGAGCATTCAAACCACGCATAACCTTGCAAGCGGCTCCGATCCGTATACACACAAACAACCCCCCCCC